ACTTCTCAACATATAAAACTAGTCACACTTCTCAACATATAAAACTAGTCACACTTCTCAACATATAAAACTAGTCACACTTCTCAACATATAAAACTAGTCACACTTCTCAACATATAAAACTAGTCACACTTCTCAACATATAAAACTAGTCACACTTCTCAACATATAAAACTAGTCACACTTCTCAACATATAAAACTAGTCACACTTCTCAACATATAAAACTAGTCACACTTCTCAACATATAAAACTAGTCACACTTCTCAACATATAAAACTAGTCACACTTCTCAACATATAAAACTAGTCACACTTCTCAACATATAAAACTAGTCACACTTCTCAACATATAAAACTAGTCACACTTCTCAACATATAAAACTAGTCACACTTCTCAACATATAAAACTAGTCACATTTCTCAAGAACAGTAATGACAATGATAAAACTGAAGTTAAACCTCAATAAAACCTAACAAGACATGCTCAGGATCTGTAAGCTGAAAATTATAGAACACTTATGAACTAAACCAGACATCCAAATAAATGCAGAGACATACCATGTTCATGGAGTGCAAGACTCAACATAATAAAGATGCCAAGTTTCACCAAAATGATCCATAGGAATTTCTATGAAATTCCCACAAGATGTTTTTAATATATAGACCAGTACATGTTAAAACTTACACAGAAAACCAAAGGAAAAATTGACATGGGAAGCTAAATCAATTTTAAAAACTATAAAGAAAAAAATGGTAAAGAAGATGGAAGTACTTTATCCAATTTTAAGACTTAATAGCTACAGTATTCAACATAACGTATTTGCAGAGGTTTAAATACACAGATCAGTAGGATCACATAAAGAACTCAGAAACAGTCCAAAAATTAACATGCCCAACAGATTTTTTTTTTTTTTTTACTAATTTCAGTTCAATAGAGGCAGGATAGTCTTTTCAACTATTCAAATGGTGCCAAGAACAACTGAACATCCTTAGGCAAGAACAACCACAACCTAAACTGCACACGGTTAATACAAAAAGGAACTCAACTTGTATCAGAGATTTAAGAACCTAGAGCTTGCTGAAGACTTCTTAGACAAGACATGAAAAGCATGAAGAGTGGCCTTCACAATAATGCCATAGATTAACACAACAGAAATGACATGGCCCACAATGGCCATACAAAACTTGACATGCAGTCATTTGAAAAGCCCTGAGAAGGGTTCAGAGTGAATACATGATTATTTTTATGTCTTTCTGTGCAGTATATTTCTTAACGTGCGGTAATACTATCACATGTTGCTTAAAATAAATAAAAGGAAGGAATCTCAAAATACCCTGACAAATGATATTAGTCATTAGTCCTTATGCTGGGACTAAGCCAAAGGCGACAGCTGTGGAACTCACCTGTACCTGTACTGACACAAGCTCATTTCAATCGGAAAATTTCCAGCCACTTTACTTGACAGTGAATCTTCACACACACTTTTGTAAGATTAAAAATGAGATTCCTTCTCTGAATGTATTGCTATCATTTAGCTTAAATTAGCTGTGTGTTTTGTTCTGTATTGGCTGCAATTCAACCTCTAGAAACTCACTGAACTGTTCGTGAAGCCTCTCTAAGGAGGAATCAGAGGGAAGAACTGGGACACGTGGGAAGGATGCACAGTTACACTGTCCTACTCACCCTACAGACAAATAAAAAGATAAAGAGATTAAGTATGAGTGTCAGCTGGCTAAAGACACATGATACATTATGTTTCAAAAGTATCAATCAAACAGGACGGTGGCCATGGAAGTCGGAATCCGCTAAGGAGTGCGTAACAACTCACCTGCCGAAAAAAAAAATCATTGCAGTAAAATGGGTTCCTTCACACATACATCTTTGTCTCCCTAAACATGAAAGTGTAAGTCAAGCCTTCATGTTTCTCATAGACACAGGCTGCTCAAGGGTAGAGGCAATGCTGTAGGACAAAGGTGTGTGCGCCAGCTGCTCAGTCGTGTCCGACTCTGTGCAACCCCACGGACTGCAGCCCGCCAGCCTCCTCTGTCCACGAAATTCTCCAGGCGAGAACACTGCAGTGGGTTGCCAGTTCCTGCTCCAGAGGATCTTTCCGACCCAGGGATCGACCCGGGTCTCCGGCATTGCAGGTGGATGCTTTACTGTCTGAGCTACTAGGCAAGCAAAGGTGGCTATTAGTAAATCTTTTCAGACACACTCTCAACTGTTTACTGACAATGGACAGCAGTGCATGTGTATACAAGATAAATAAAAGGAACAAGGTCCTCTGATCTCTGCAACAACACTCCTCTTAACTCAGATAAACTAAGGGATGACAAAATGCCTCAGGCTCCTCATGGATATTTGAAAGCTGTGTTTGCATTTCTTCTTCTCTTCCCTTTCTCTTCCTCTTTTGTTTAAATATCCCTGAGATAATTTTGCAGTGTAAACTGAGGAGGAAGATGTGCCTGAAGGTTTTGCTAAATGCAAAATAAAGATTGGCTCACTCTCCTGCATGAATTTTCAGATACAGAATAAATTTCCAGGCTGACTCCATTTCTAACATGATTCTTTAGATGACAATTGATATCCTGCAAATAGGTTTTCTCACAGGGAAGAAAAATGAGGGGATTTCTTTTTGGTATGAATGATCAGATTCTGAGTAAGATGTTTCAATGGCAAAAGATTTTCCTCAGGGGTTACGTGCAGAAGTCTTTCCCCAGAAAAGAGTTCTTAGAGGTTCGACTCTAAGTGTGGAATGACATAAGTGTGCGGAGTTGTCCCACATCTGTCACACTGGCAGGGTTTCCCCCAGTATGAACCCTCTGGTGCTGAGTAAGGGATGAGCTGCAACTGAAGGCCTTTCCACACTCACTTCACTCACATGGCTTCTCTCCACTGTGGATGATGGAGTGTCGAATGAGGCTTGTGCTCCACCAGAAGGCCTTCCCACACTTCATGCATTTGTAGGGCTTCTCGCCACTGTGAATCCGCTGGTGGCTGTTGAAGTATGATCTGCGGCTGAAGGCTTTCCCACACTCTGTGCACTTGTAGGGCTTCTCTTTGCTGTGGATGGTGAAGTGCCGGCTGAGGCCTGACCGACTGCTAAAGGCCTTCCCACATTCCTTGCACTCATATGGTTTCTCTCCAGTGTGGGCCCTTTTATGGAAGATAAAAGTGGAGCAGTAGATGAAGGCCCTTCCACACTCGGCGCACACATAGGGCTTCTCCCCAGTGTGGATCCGCTGGTGCGTCGTGAGCTGGGCCCTGCGGTGGAAGGCCTTCCCGCACTCGAGGCACCTGTAGGGTTTCTCTCCGGTGTGGATGATGGAGTGCTGAATGAGCCTAGTGCTGTTGGAGAAGCCCCGGCCACACTCACGGCACTCATAGGGCTTCTCCCCGGTGTGGATCCGCTGGTGTGCTGTGAGCTGGGCCCTGCGGCGGAAGGCCTTCCCGCACTCGCTGCAGTCATAGGGCCTCTCCCTGGTGTGGATCAGGAGGCGCTGTAGGAGGTGTGTGCTCCTGCTGAAGGCTCTCCCATACTCTGTGCATCCACGGGGCTTCACTCCAGAGTGAAGCTGCTCATGTCGGACAAGGAAGCCATGTGTGTTGAAAGCTTTTCCACAATCCCCACACTTATAGGGAAAGTTTTCTTCATGAGCCAGGGGTCCTGTCACCAGCCCACGTGACTCCCGTTCATAGAGCATGTCTCTTGGAGGGACTCGCTGCTGTGCAGTCCTCGAGGGCAGACGGTCACCTGTCCCTAAACCATGGTGATCAGCGTTCACTTTCCTAGGGAGTTCCTTCCCCTGGTGGCCTATGCCTGGTCTCAGGGGACCTTCCTGCATCTCCAACGGCCCACCCCCATCGTTGGTCTGCACCAGCCGGGAGTGTTCTGAGTCCCACTGAGCCAGTCGTTTCTGGGGCGAGACTTCGCCAGATGAGGCTGGGTGGGAAGGGGCAGGCTGTGGGGCCTCGGGGTTTCTGTCGTCACCTGGAGGGAAGACAATACACAAAAAGGCTTGCAGTGACGGCGGAGGAGAAGCAACTAAACCACCAGGTCAGTGGGAAGAAGATGAAGACAGGGGCCGTCTTTTCAGCCTGCGGTCTTTTCAGGTCTCTGAAACCCAAGTTTGTAATTTCTTTCTTTCTCCTGTTTGAATTCTTGAAAAATTTAAAGGGAAAGCCCGGGGGGAGAGTATGGACAGGGGACAGAAGGTCTGGAGACAAGCAGGGCAGAGAGGAATGGTGACACGGCGTGTGGTGAGTCTGCTGCGAACCACAACACCTCATGGTGCTACGCACAGGGGAGCCAGCGAAGAGGTACCGAGCGCTCCCAGGTGGGCGACAGGGATGGGCTGTGGAGGCTTCCGGTGAGGGCAGACCTACGGGTGTGGCAGGAGCTGCAGTACACGGAAGATGACAAGGTCCTTTCAGCCTTAGGAAAGAGAACGCACAAAGGCACACAGTCTCCCAGAACCAGGGAGCTGCCCTGCTTGAGAGCACAAGGTTGCAAAGAGGAAGGCTCTGAGATGGGATAAGTGTCCTTACGGGAAGAGAGAGGAGACAGCTTGCTCCTTTTCACTGCCACATGAGGACAGAAGGAGAAAGCTGCCATCTGAACACAGAGGGGCAGGCCCTCCTCAGCCGGGATCTGCCAGCACCTTGATCCAGCTCTTCCCAGATTCCTGAAGCGACAGAACAAAGTCTGCTGCTTGAGCTACCTGGGCTGTGGCTTTCTTGTTACAGCAGCCCACGCTGAGACAGGAAGGCATGAGCAAGGTTCTCAGGCTGGAGCCCGGGGATGTTAAGTGCATTATGTTCAAAAAGAAACGAATAAGCAGAGAAATAATTCCATTCCTACATCAACTAGTCAAGGTCATTCATGAATCAGTGATGACAATGGGCCCACAGAGCCGTGAAGTGAAACCAGTACCTGAGCTCCACCGAACAGAAGTTAGGGTCATGTGAGCATTATGGTCTCTGACCACAAAAACCTAGGCCTGAATTCCAGGAGAACTCAGCGTGAGCTTTATGGCATCTGGCAAGGCACTCAAATGTCACAGGCCTTCATTTTCCTCTTTTGAAAATTAGAGCTAAAACGAGAACCTGTCTTGTAGGACTGCTGTGACGATGAAGTGACAGCACCTATACCATGCGAGTAGAAGGCCAGACACAGGGCAAAAAGAAATCAATCAATCAGACTTAACTTTTTATTATGGATTAGTTCAATATGCACACCAGGGACCTGACCAGGAAGCAGGTAAACTGAAGGCGTGAGAACAAGAATGTGTGGAGAGTTTCTTAAGAATAAAAGGATGAACCTATCTGCAGGGCAACAGTGGAGACTCAGGCAGAGAACAGACGTGTGGACACAGTGGGAGAGCAGTATCAGAACACAGACATCACCGTGTGGAAAACAGCCAGGCAGTGGGAGGCGAGGATGGAAGCTACACACAGGACACTCGGGTGACAGGTGAGGCTTTAAGGATGAAGCAGCACAAGGACCAGGCTCTACTGTTGACACGAAGACGTGCCGGGACCTCGGGGGCTGGGGAGCGGCTGCGAGGGTCAGTGTGGGAGACAGGACAGACCAAGGGGCACAGAGCAGAGGCAGGGAGACCAGCCAGGAGTGTGCTGGCATCGCCCAGGCAGAAGCCGAAAGCCTGGACTGGGAGCGTGGGGACGGGTCTCGCATAGCTGGCGGAGGTGATGGACTCGAGACGTGCGCACGGAACGGACAGGGTTTGGTGCCACTGGATGGAGGCGCTGGTGGAGACGGGGGTGCCAAGGAGCTGTCTGAGGTGTGCCCACCTCCTGACATGCTCGCGAGGCGGGAGGAGTGGGCAAGGTCTGAGCTCTCTCTCGGGTGTGTTGGGTGTGAGGTGCCTTGAGGTTCAGGCAAAGAGGACAGAAGACGAGAGCAAGAGGGTGCATCTGTCCGCTCGATGCTGGGAATGTCGGCGGCAGAGAAGGTGGCAACGGGCCCCAGCTGTCCAGAAGGAAACGTGAGACCCTGCCCTGACTCGCAAGCACTAGTCCTGTGACACCAACAGCTCGCGTCTGCTGAGCCGATCTCTACGGTCAGGTCCAGTGAGGAGCAATTTCACACGCAATCTATTACATCCTCTAACCACCCAATGAGGCAGAAACCATGAGGACTGCAAATTTCCAGGACCGGACAGAGTGTAACAAACCACGCTCAGCAAACCATTTCTTTCCTCTCCGTGGACACACTCAGTCTCTCTTCCCAGCCCTGGGCACCAGATGACAAGGTCAAGTCACAAGTCAGTGGAATATGAGGGAAAACCGTGTTGGGAGTTGCTGTGACACTTTTCCTTCTCTGTCTCCCCTCTGCCAGCTGGAGGATGCCAGGAACCCTGGAGGGCCCACACGAATGACAGGAGGCACCCCAGTCCCAAAAAACTGCCTGCTCACAGTTCCCCACAGACCCAGGTGGTTCTTGGCTCAAGAAGAAAACTTTTCCGTACACTGCCACAGAGATTCTGGAATACATCTGTTCGAGCAGCTAGATTTACCTTGGCCAAACGCACAGACAAAGATCACGGAACATCCTTGGGCCACAAGGCTGTGTGCTGTGTCACACCTAGTCTTTAAGCTCACGCTCATGGAGCTGAGAGCCTGAACTGACCTGACACACCCCACACCTCCCAGCAGCATCACAGGGCAGGGCAAGCATGGGTCCAAAGTCTGCAGGGATCCCCCGCACCCATGACAAGAACATTCTCACAGAGCGGACGGGCCGTGGCCTCCATGAGGTGTGCATGTTGCCCTGACTGCCCTGGCCAGCTGTGGGTACTCACACGAGCATGAGTCAGGGGTGGGTCCTCTCTTCAACGTCTGTGACTCAGGGCCAGGCTCCGCTGGGGGGATCAGCTCTGGCTCAGGCAAAGGACATCCTGTTCAGAGAGAAGAAAAGAGAATGTGGGGATGTGTGGGAAGAAGAAGCCTCTCAACCGAGACCAGGACTGCAGGGTTTGGAAGAGAACCCAACATGTGGCTGCCCCCCTCCAGGCAAACAGAACCCTGCACCTGGGAAACATGTGAGAACACCACCCTCGGTCCCCAAAGACAAAGATGTGACCGCCGGCTGCACAGACAGGACCCCTCCCCGATCTCCATGCCCAGATCCCCGCACCGCTCAGACTATTTCCTGAGGACTTTACCTAATTCACTGGAGTCAGGGGCCTCTGCCTGCCTCCGTGATCACTAGCAACACCCAGGGTATCCTGTCACCAGCACAGAACAGGTCAAAGTCTGTGGGGAGAAGTCCAAGTACCCGCGGTCTTAAATGCTTCCCGGGTGCTGGTGACCAGACCGACAGGCTATGGACCCTGGTCTCCATCATCACACAGACAGCAGCTAAGGTCCACAGGTGGCCCACGTCACCTGCTCCTGCCCTCGGGAAGCAGCTTACGATGTCTGTGAGGGGACTGGCCTCAGCACCAGGACCAAGGATGTGGAGAAACAGACACCTGAGTTGGCACCCCCACCTGGGAGCCAGCATCACCTCTGAGCTTCTTCTTAGACAACATGATACATTTCCTTTCGGGCACAGACTGCTCCAAACACACATCAACAAAGGAGGGGGTCAGGGACGCAGATAAGTCGCTGCTGGAGGTACGGGGCCCACACAGAAAGTGCACCCGCAGCGCAGATCCTAAACCACGGCCCAGGACTCACCAGTCATCACTAGGCAGATGTTCACCCCATCTGCTATGTGCTCAGGGACAGGGCAATGCAAATTAAGGAGCCTGCCCTTTGCTGTCAGGAGTCATGCCCCCTGTGACCCCGGGGACTTTGCATATGCTGCCCTGTCCAACTGGAAGGCTGCTCTGTCCCACTTTCCTCTGCCTAGCTTACTCTTCACTCTTTGGTTCTCAGCTCAAATGTCACCTCCTGAGTCTAGGAGCTTCATCAGTGTGCCGTGTTGCCATGGCATTTTCTTAACCCTAATGGCAAGTTAAAACTCATATTTAGTGGACTTCCTGTTTCCAGTTCTGCCTGTAAGGAGCTTCCGAGTCCCCACTCCATCTGAACAACAAGTGGAAAGCTGAACAGACAGAAAACTCGAGTCGTCTTGGGTCAATAACAGAGGCTAGGGAACAGGGTAAGCTGCTGTCCCCAAGACTGGAGACACAGGGAATACAGTGAGTCACGGGAGCAGAGACCAGTGAGCAGAAGCTGCCACGGGAACCAGCGCCAGGTGAGGAAGCCTGAACCATAATTAAAGAGCTACAGCAGGTTCAGAGCAGACAACTCTGAGAGCAGAAGTCAAGTGGGAGCCAGTGACAGGCAGGCCCTCACAATATCATGAGATCTATCTCCACATCACGTGCAGCTGCCAAGAAAAACTGGCATGAGTCATGCTAAAAGTCAAAGGACATAATTTGAAGAGCTAGAGCAAGCATCAGAACCTGACAGGCCAGGGATGCTGGAGC